CTTCGGGCGCATCAACCAAGGTCCAGACTTGGTTTGTGTACATAGACTCCATTTCAGATTTCATGGCTTCGAGCCATAGATCGGATTCGGGGCATGTAATTGCCTCGAGGTAGGTCTCTGGTTCGCCTTGATCTACCAACAAGACGTCACCTTCATCAGACATGAGAAATCCATATCTGACCAGAGGATTACGTATCCGTTCTGACCTACGTGGTATATCTTGAGCAATTTGAGGTTCAATTTCTTGATCTCTTTGCTCAGGTTCCAACACTATAGGGACTTCTTCTTGTGGTTCTCGAATTTCTTCGAGGTCTACCTTTCTCCCACTAGTGATAGCAAAAAGAAACTCCTTCTCAAGGAAGGTTCCATTCCGAGCAACGAAAATTTTGTTATCGGATGGATGATAGAACTCATACCCTCTAGTTTCCTTGGGGTATCCCACAAAAATTACTTTATCAGATTTAGGCTCCAACTTACTAGACCTCATGAGACGTTTTACATAAGCTTCACAGCCCCAAATCTTAAAGTACGAGAAACTCGGTTTTCTCCCACGCCATAGTTTGTATGGTGTGCTCTCAACAGCTTTAGATGGAACTCTGTTGAGTGTGTGTGCTGCTATTTTCAATGCATATCCCCAAAATGATTCTGGCAATGTTGTCAGACTAATCATGCTCCGGACCATGTCTAGCAAAGTCCGATTTCTCCTCTCAGACACTCCATTTTACTGAGGTGTCCCCGGAGGAGTGAGTTGGGATAAAATCCCATGCTCTTTCAGATAGTCATCGAACTCCAGGCTTAAGTATTCACCTCCTCGATCCGAGCGAAGGGTCTTAATACTTTTGCCTAATTGTTTTTGTACTTCGTTCTTGAATTCTTTGAATTTGTCAAAGCATTCCGATTTGTGTTTCATGAGATACACATATCCAAATCTACTAAGGTCGTCAGTAAATGTAACGAAGTAAGAATAACCACCTCTAGCTACAGTGCTAATTGGACCACAGACATCGGAGTGTATGAGGCCCAATAAGTCACTCGCCCTTTCACCGTGACCGGTGAATGGAGCCTTTGTCATTTTACCAAGTAAACAAGATTTACATACATCATATGACTGGAAGTCAAATGAATCAAGTACACCAGAACGATGTAACTTAGATATGCGTTTCTCGTTAATGTGGCCTAAACGACAATGCCAAAGGTACGCGAGATTTAAACTGTTGGGTTTGTTTCTCTTAACATCTACGTTATATACTGCGGTATCCATGTCAAGGACATAGAGACCGTTCGTCATTTTTGCACTTGCATAAAATATATCATTTCTAAAGACAGAAAGAGTTTTGTATTTTACAACGAACGAAAATTCTGCTTTGTCAAGGCAGGATACAGAAATGATGTTTCTGCTCATACTAGGTACAAACAGACAATTATTCAAATGCAATATAAGACCACTAGGTAGAGATAAACTATAGGTTCCGACGGCCAATGCATAGACGAGTGCGCCATTGCCGACTTTTAGTTGTATCTCTCCCTCTGTCAATTGTCTACATTCATGCAAGTTCTGCATAGAAGTACAGATGTGAGAACCACATCCAGTATCCATCTCCCAAGAGGTGATATCAGACATATTGACTTCGATAACGTAAATTCCTGAGTTTTGGGGCTGACCCTGGTAAAGGTCTCTTAAGCATTGTATCATAGGACGCACTTCCATGTCCGCGTGGAGCCTTTGGAGCTCTGCGGTCATACTGGCCATAATGATACACTTTACATCTCGCGCGTCGTCCTCATACTTCTTGAAGGAAGTGAGTTCGAACGCACGAGCATCAGCATCAGGGGTCTTGGGAGGATCCGTTTCGAGGATGTAGAGTTTCCACTCACAGTCAAGAACGATCCGGAGGTTCATCTCCCAGTCAAGAAAGTTGGTCCCGGATAACTTGTTGTTTTCCACGATGTAACGCAGGTTGAAAGGGTTGTTGTTGTTTGCCATCTACAGAAAATTTTGCAAACTAGGTTATCTATCATGTTTAATAATTAATTAGGCCTTTAATTAATTATCTCCCACTATTTTTAACAAATCAATAACCCTCGATATTGATTCAGAGATTTCCGGCGAAACCTCTAGTAGGCCAAGATCCATATTTCATTATCTTGCGTTCCGCTTGGGCGTTACTCCACAAGACAACTATTTAGGTAGGAACATAGTTCCAACTGATGAGCCGGGCTCTCAGCTCTTGATCTGGTGTTGGGCGAACAATATTACTACAACCGGACCAAGACACCTTTTCACCATACTTGTAATTGGCTGAGGCACATCTTACAAGCAGACTACTTTAGTTAGGAACAGAGTTCCAATTAAATCATAAAGATCCAACTCCTGGCTGGCTGAGTGAGTAAAATCATCCGACTTGTCATTGATGACCCCAACTTACTGCCTCTGAGTCGTCCATCTATTTGACCGAGACTCAGTTAAGTCTAACCCAACGTGCGACAACGACCACGCTATGGCGGTTCCCGTAACCAGCTTAACATACACCGTACTATGCTCTGCTGAGGTTGAGTACATGACAGTTCACATTAGCCGGATAGGTGCCGGGCGTCAGAAGGCAACAGACTTAATATTCGTGAGGGATTTATAATTTCGATCTCACCTATCAACATGGCCGCGCACATGTCCATTACTAGCGTTCAACATACATTCAACATGCATTCACAAAACACAGTAAATAAACGTGTAATGATTTTGGCCCCTAAAAGAAAAATAAAACGATATCTCCCACTAGCTTCCAGGCACTTGGACTTCGGGCTGTTGAAACATGGGCTTGTCACGTTTTCGTACTAAAGCCGTGTTCGTTTTTGTAACAGGTTTTGATAATGCCAAACCGCTGTGATCAAGTCGAACATTGAATATACAAGGCGAAGAACGAAGATAAGAGCAAGAGCTAAACGAACACCAAGAACGAAGACCTTAATCATAGTATTGAGTCGGTCTTTATTGTGATCAAGACCGACCCAATCTTTACACCTTGGCTCTTTAGGCTAAAAACTCTCATCGCATTTCTTACATCATAAAAATGGTTTTAAACTTGTTTAAGTCATTAAAAACACTTGGTGTTCACCCAAACCAAAAACCAAGCCATCCAGTGTTCGG